TGATTGATGTTCATTCACAAGTTTGACCTAGTAATCTTCCCCTTCTTCGTCTTCTCCTTCAGCAGATTCAGCTCCGACCTCCTCATAATCCTTCTCGAGAGCAGCCAAATCCTCTCTAGCCTCTGAGAATTCTCCTTCTTCCATGCCCTCACCGACGTACCAGTGAACGAATGCACGCTTGGCATACATCAAGTCGAATTTATGATCAATCCTGGAGAACACCTCAGCCACACTAGTTGAGTTAGAAATCATGCAAACAGCCCTTTGAACCTTAGCTAAGTCCCCACCAGGAACCACAGTAGGTGGCTGATAATTGATACCACATTTGAAGCCAGTTGGGCACCAATCGACAAACTGAATTGTCCTCTTAGTTTTGATTGTGGCCACTGCAGCATTCACATCTTTTGGCACCACATCACCCCTGTACATCAGACAGCAGGCCATGTACTTCCCGTGGCGAGGGTCACATTTAACCATCATGGAAGATGGCTCGAATGCTGTGTTCGTGATTTCAGCAACAGAGAGTTGCTCATGGTATGCTTTCTCAGCAGAGATGACTGGGGCATAAGAGGAAAGCATGAAGTGAATCCTTGGGTATGGGACCAAGTTAGTCTGGAACTCATTCACATCCACATTAAGAGCTCCATCAAATCGCAGGGATGCAGTCAAAGAAGAAATCACCTACAGATTTCATGAAATATCAATCATAACAGATCCATAACTACATTATGTATTTATGAATCCCATAAAGGTCCTTTAGTTTTATACCTGAGAAATGAGCCTATTTAGATTTGTATATGTGGGCCTCTCAATATCAAGTGACTTGCGGCAAATATCATAAATCGCCTCATTGTCAAGAAGCACAGCAACATCAGTGTGCTCCAAGAGAGAGTGTGTCGAGAGCACAGAGTTGTACGGTTCAACGACAGCAGTCGAAACTTGAGGGGAAGGGTAAATAGTGAAACCCAACTTCGATTTCTTACCGTAGTCAACAGAAAGCCTCTCAAGCAACAGAGATCCAAGTCCAGATCCAGTGCCTCCACCAACAGCATGGAACACCAGGAACCCCTGCAGTCCAGTACAGTTATCCGCAAGCTTTCGGATCCTATCGAGGCAGAGATCAACAATCTCTTTGCCGATGGTATAATGCCCTCTAGCAAAGTTGTTGGCAGCGTCCTCCTTGCCACTGATCAGCTGTTCCGGGTGGAAGAGCTGGCGGTATGTACCGGTACGGACCTCATCTATAACAGTAGGCTCCAGATCCACAAAGACAGCGCGGGGAACGTGCTTTCCGGCACCTGTTTCACTGAAGAAAGTGTTGAAGGCATCATCTCCACCGCCGACTGTTTTGTCTCCAGGCATTTGCCCATCAGGCTGTCAAATCGAAACCCCATTAGTAATTTAATCAAAATAATCGATACAGATCTTGAATCGGTAAAAAATTTTGATAACCGAACCTGAATCCCATGCTCAAGGCAGTACAATTCCCAGCAGGCATTTCCGACTTGAATTCCGGCCTGACCAATGTGGATAGAAATGCACTCTCTCATATTGCCTTACTTTTTTTTGCGTGAAACAGAAATTAGAAAGAGGAGCAGAGAAATGGGCAGAGGCGTATACAAAGACGGCTCTGCGAAATGTAGATCTGAGAAGGATAAGATTAGGGTAGAAAAGGGGGGAATTTATTATATTGTGGTTGGTGGCAATTGTGTTATTTTGAAAAGGTAGAAAATATTTTGAAATTCAAAAATATTTTACAGCTGGAGCGCATGACCGTTGCCGCTTTTTCGAATTTTATATTTGAACAGTTGGGTTTCGCATGTACATACATTTTAAGAGCTTGTTTGGTAGAGATTAAAATCGAATTAAAATTGAAAAATTAACCTTTATTGTTGATTTTTATTAGACGAGTGTGACTCAATAACGACTATATTTTTAATTTTAATAGGATTTTAATTGTTACCAAACAAGCTCTAATTGTCTAGGGCTATTATTACATGTTTACGTGGCAGCGTCCTCTTTACCACTTGTGACTTTGCCCTTCTATATTTTCTATTTTATTTTTAATCATATATTTTTTAATAAAATAATATTATACGTAAATTTAGGCTCTGTTTGAGCCAAATTATTATAGAATGAAAAACATAACCGTTTTTGGGGCCCACACAAGATATAGAAAATTTGAATTTAAATGTTGATGCGATAGATAACGGTCTTATTTTTCATTTTAATGAGATAATAATGTAGATCAAACGAGGGCTTAAAATTTTTCCTTATTTTTTAATTACACATTTTTCATCAAAATTCTATTTCAAAATACATTTTGGACAAAAAAAAAAGGGCTCAAACAAGTTCTTATTGCTTGAAAAGGCTTGTTGCATGTCAAGAGATTTAGGGTTTGTTTGAGCCACATTATTTTGGAAAAATGTATGTTGGAATAGTAGATTGATGGATAATGTGTGGTTAGCAAAGAAGGAAAAATTATTGATGTGATGAAAAATATTATTTTATTTAAGAATGTATGGTTGAAAATGAGGAGAAGAATGAAAACGAAAATTTTAATGTGACTCAAACAGGGATTTAAGGGGTGTGCTCAATTAGAATTTTTAATGAATTTCATAAGATTTTGTCCCCATTTGAGTTCCATTTCTATGTGAAAATATATTTTGAAATAATGATTTTTTTAAAAATATTTGTTTAAAAATTAAGAAAAAATTTCAATTTACGTGTAAAAATATTTCATGGGAAAATGCCTAGTTAAAAATGAGGGCCAAAATGAATTTTAATGGATTTCTATATAATTCATAATAATCTCATTAAAAAATATGAAATTTTAAATGTATTTTCATTCCTTGTTTGATTCTCATTATTTTCATATTACATTTTTCTCATTTTTATTTTTAAGCACACATTCTTCAGTAAAATAATATTATACGTAAATCTAAATTTTTTTTATTTTTTAATTATACATTCTCTATCAAATAACTATTATAAAATGTATTTTTATGATTTTATCAAAAAAAAGAGGCTCAAACAAACTCTCAAATTTGAAATTTATCCAAATCTCTTCAATGATGAAATCTTTATAATGGTGTGTTTGATGGATATTATTGAGAAAATAATGTATTTTAAATAGTGATATGACGGGAAATATGTAGTTGAAAAGTAAGGAAATGTTATTGATGTTATAAAATATTATTTTATTGAAAAATGAATGATTGAAAATGAGTTTTGGAAGAATGTCTTTTGAAAAAATGCGTGTCAAAAATGGGCTAAATTCACAAATTATTGAAAACATCAACATTTTAATAAAATTTATTAAAAAATCTCAATTGAGAACACCTATATTAGAATCAGTGTTCTAAAATGCATAATGCGTTGCGATGCGTAGAGGTCGAGAATCAAGAATCACAAGCTTAAACGTGTCAATACGGAGAATAGGCGTCATAATGCGTTTCGTACTTTTAATATTATTTTAAGTA